ATATTAAAGCAGCTCAGCTAAACAATAAAGTTTGTCCTTGTCATCTTCCACTGTAGCCGCTGCTAGCTTTCTCCGTGCAGCATGTTTGCCTCCCAAACCTCGTCCTTCCAAGATTCAATCGACGTGGAGGAGAGAGATGACTTTGACAGCGAAGAAATAGCTGGATACAGCCAGAAGATTCAGCTGAACTGCTACTACACCATCTATCTTTATCAAGGCACAAGGTAACCGTGGCTATTTATCTGCTAGGTTTCTTCTTTGCAGAGCTTTGCTGCAACCATATGATACCTATGGTTCTGCTTCTTGCATCGATAACTCGAATTTAGGAGCATGTTTAAAATCTTAGGATTATTACTGTGGATAACCCTTATCCTCCTTTTATTTCTGAACACAGCCAGGAAAGATATCTCTGTGTAGTTTATGGTTTTATTTAGCTGTATTTGTCCCTTCTCATGCTATTATGCGGGTAAAGCCCACTTTATACATTAAACTCTAACCAGGTGATGAGTAAACTGTCGATTGTCTTAGATCTGAGGCTTCTGGGGAAAATGTGGCATGGAACCAGAGACGAGCAGACTCCACAACCAGTCAGGAAGACTTTAGGTAACGAAGGAGCCAGCGCCTACCTCCCACTTGCTTTGCCTGGTTTCTCTCTGGCTTTCTTTGTTGTGCATCAGTGTTTCCACGAGCTGCCACCGGCAATCCGATTAACATGGATTCAGTGCTGTTTTCATTCATGGTTTTTGTTCCAACTGGTCATCACTCTGCTTCTGAGTTACGTGGCCTTAAGGTGCCTCCTGATCTAAACAGTGGCTCCACTTTTATGTATCAACTACTGTTGGTAAAAAAAAAAAATAATAATAAAAATAACTTTGAATGTCTTTGTAGAGTGTGGAAAAGTTTAACAACTATGTGACTCAGTTGTGTGTTGTGTGCTGCATATTGTCATCAGCTTTCTCCATCTCCTCTCCATTGACTTCAGTGGCTTCCACAAACTTCTCATCCCTGCACTGGCTGTTTTTATCCACACTGACTCTCTGCTTTGCCCACAGCCTCACACTAATTGACAGCAGCCTGCCATCAGAGGCAGAGCCAGAGCTGCGGACCTACATTTCAAGGAGGCTGAGCAAAGGAGCCCTGCTTGGAGGCATGGGCAACATTGCCACTGTGGAACTCAGGTAATAATTTTACATACAGCAGTGGTAAGCTTACACACACTCAATATGCTTTCTTTGAACTGTTCTTCTTCCGGTGTGGAATGATTGTACAGCTACATCTTTAAGAACTTTAAAAATAAAACAAGAACTGGGTGCACAAGCTTCAATTTATTTAAGATTTTCTCTAATCCACACAGAGTCCACAAGCTTCTGGCTTAACTTCAGCTGGATATTTGAGCACATGTTTTGAACCTCATCTCGTTTGTTAGACTTGTGCAGGTCATGATGTGGAAGCATATTATGTATTTATATCAAAGTGAATATAGCCCGTTTCATTTAACCATACTAATGAAAAGCTAAAGTTTAACTGGAAATATGTCTCAGCAGTGGAAATGTATACATTTATTAACACAACCATTCTGAATTTTTACTGGACAGTATTCCAGAGCAGGCCGTCGGCTGCTACTGCTGCCTCCTGGAGCAGGAACGGTCTCCCGAACAGCCGGATTCCGATGGAAATGGATATGTCATCTGCTTTATGGGAGGGTCTGAAAAAGGACTGAATTTATATCCTTTTGTATAAAATAAGCCAAAGTTCTAAGTAAATTGCTTTCCAGGACTATTATACGTGATCCTCCTTGCTGCTACGGAATGTGTTTCACTGCATTGTTGTGGTGCGTCCGTGTTACAGTTCAAATTCCTTGACTGCATACACATTCAGATTAGAGCTCGATAAGTACGTCCAAGGCCTGCACAGCAGCCTGCAAACCCCAGAGGTATGACAGTGCAATAACAGTGTAACTGTGTACCAATAATATGTTATAGTATTATCCGTGCAAGACTGACGTGTCCCACTTTGTTTGTGTTTAGCTGCAGAACCTTGAGACGGAGGTGCGCCCCTATCTGAGTCAGTGGTACGAGGAGTCTGTGATGCACATTCATCGAGTGGTGCAGCTGGTCCAGAGCAACATCAGCTTCCTGCTCCACGCTGTGAGTCATTTCTCACCACTACACTGTTTACTTATTGAAGTATGTCCAGTAAAGATAAGTGCTCACAAAGCAAACACTCATCTGATACAAGAGAATAAATAATTAAGATAAGAATGGAGGACTCAAGAATAACACTGCGAGTTGCTCTAGAGAGGAATTTTGTTTAATAGGTACAATACTCCATGAGACAAGTGTTGGAATAATATCAGAAGCTTGTGACATAACCCTGGTGAGGAAGACATTACATAACAGTTACCAAAAAGTGTTTCTAGAAACAAACCTCGGTCACAGGTGGTTTGGTTTGCTCTCATTTCAAGAATATTACATCATTTCTATCATCAAATCACCCCTCACTTGATCCTCAAGACAATTAATAGATTTATATAAAATGTGTGGGGCGCTAAAAAAACAAATTGAATTAAGCACAGGTTTCCATAACTACAGTGAGACTTGCCAGGGTTTCCACATATTCACTGTCTGTGATCAGTCTTTATCCTTTTTACACGTCTGAAAAGTATTGGAACTACATATACTCACTGACCACTTTATTCAGTACACCTCAGTAGTAGCAGGTTGGACCCCCTTTGCCCTTCATAGAAGAATAAATTCTTTATTGCTTAGATTCAACGAGGTGCTTGAAACCTCAGTTCATTTTGACATAATTACACCAAGGAGGAAGATGAGTGTTACTTTGGTTCTGGGTGAACTGGTTTTGAAATCATGGTTTAGCTGTCTGTTTGTTTCCAGCTTAATTCATTTCAACCTCTAAAACCTTGTGTGCACAGGCTCTGAGTCACACACATGTCGAAGTCATCAATTCAGACGAGAGGACGAAGGCTGACGTTTCCAGGTGAGTGAGGTGACGAAGTCCATGCTGATCCTCATGTATCAGGTCTGTCTTTCTTCCTGTTGTTCATGTTCAGCAGTTCAGTGTGAAGAAAAAAAGCATCCACTTTATGCTCTCAGGTTCATCAAAGCAGCCAGTTTGCAGGGACTTTCCCAGCAAGACACCACGACCGCTTCTCTGTGCAAGGCCATCTCAGAGGACGCACAGTCTGCCCTGATTATAGACTGCTCCACCAGCCCACCCACACTCACAAAAACTGGTAACTCACACACTGTGACATGTATGTAGTCTGTCTTTGTAATGTCTGAGAAACTAATAAAAATGTTTTGTCCCCTCAGTCAGTAACCGTTTCTGTGATGACTGGATTCAAGCATTTCTGAACGCTGCAGAGCGTTGCAATCCGTTCCTGCTCAGACAGATTCTGGAGAACTTTAAACTTAAGGTGGGAAAGCACACACACACAGACTGTAGTTGTTTTTTTTTTTACTTGTTGCCTTTTTTTTTCCCATCCTCGCCTCTTCCCTTTTTGTAAAACCCACTACTTTGTCTCTCCCCCTGCAGGCCATCCAGGACATGAACAGCTTGAAGCGCTTTGTGCGGCAGGCAGAGATGAGTCACTACGCGCTATTTCGCTGCTGCCAGTTCCTGCAGGGCTGCGGAAACGGGGACGTGCTCCTGCAGAACGCCCGGGCCGAGCACAGCGACCTGCCCGAAGCCTGCAGCATCATCACGGTCCTGGAGGAGTTCCTCAGGGAACAATCCCAGGCCCAAGCGTGATCCCCGACCGACGTGCACTACCAGCAAACCTCACACTACAATCTAAAATATCAGATATCCTGAGAGAATCGCAGCTGTCGAGGCTGCTGCGTAATAAAATGTGTAAGTTATAAAACTGTTTTGGAGACTGGTGGTCAGACTTGGAATATACTGTACTGTAAAGCAGTAACAGATTTAGTAGCATCACTGTATTAACAATGACAACTATTAACGCCAGCTGTAATTCACAAATTATAACTTTCTAAGGACATTACCTCAGTGAAGATAAGTACAAATTGAAGAAAAACAGATTGTTTAAACTGCAGTTGTTGAGTGGGTAGTGCAGCTTGTGTTGTGTATCACGATACTATGAACCAAATATTATTTCTGGTATTTTTGCTAACTGACAAAGATGACAACAGGGCGTAGCGTGTGGCTTATTTAATTCTATTCTTATCAGTTCATTAATATTTAGAATTTATTTTGATTGTGAGGGGAAAAAATTACTGCGACTGCACAAATCACTTTTTACGCATTGCTTGTTACATACGTGCGCCTTGTTTTTGCTTGTATTTCAACACAATATATGCACTACTAAATTATTTTAATGAGTAAGGATACTGTGTGTGTACCAACTGTATGTTTAGTCTTACTCTGGTAACGGAAAGAAAATTGTCGTATTTGTAATGTGTGAATATTTTTGTTTACATTCAGTATCACAGCCTTCATCAGCTCACAGGCACCACGTGATCGCTCGCTACATCACTAAACTGAGTGCGTGGCGTTTAAAGAGTTTCCCACAAAATAAATGAAATAAGAGATTAAAAATACAGATTTGACAACAAGCTCATAGTAGACTTTTACTTTCTTTCCTTCTTTTAAAGTGTTTTAGCATTAAGCTCAGATCATTCCCATTAAATCAAGTCCAAAGTGTGTAATACAGCAATATCAGTAAAGTATAATGGTGTATACTTTTAAACTGTGAACCAAGTTTGACATGTAAAATGAATTGTTTTTACTTTTGTGAAACATAGTGTGACTGACCCTGCAGTTCTTTGTGTGTACACATTTCTGTACAGCATGTTTTCTCTACCTATAAATATGTGTTTGTGGTTCTCTGGTCTTGTATAGAAGGAGTAAATAAATACCACAGTTGAACCTCTGCTGCGGTCGTATCTGTTGCCTAGTTTTAGACGAAACATTGAACAAAGATGAGGGATATTATTTACATTTGTATAAATAGTACTAGTATCCAATACTGCTACTTCTAGTAAAACAAATAAAATACAGAAATGAACAGTTCCCAAGGTTGACAGCATGTGGAGCTGCTTGTGCTGATGTTCTGAAACCACAGCTCAAATCATCCACTTAGTTCCTTCCTTTGGCTGCAACCGATACAATGAAACTGTGTGCAAGTGCATTTCACAGAACTGATGCAGTTTTTACTGCCTGTCTGCCTTTACATACCAGCATCAAAACAAACTATTGCAGCACACGTTAAAAGTTCTCATTGTGTAGAGTCGGTTGGGGGAAAAAAATAAACCAGAGTAGAAGACGCGATTAGTTTCATTTAAAACTGAAACACAAAGATAAAGAGATGAAGCAGCGACGGTCTTCCAATCCAAAGCTGGTGAGTTTGCCGGCCTCCACCGATGCTCTGAAACTACACCTCATATATTCCAGTAGGTTCCTTCCTCTGGCTGATCGTCTGCAGATGCAAACAAACACTGTCAAATGAGTTTATGAAGAACTGGGTTATTTAATTGTTTAACCGGGTAAAGTCATAGAAGTTACCTATGGTGTGATCAGACATGGTTCTCAGGAGTGAGCTTGGCACGTCATAGACACTCTCTGCGAGGGTGTGAAATGGATAAAACATCAGCAAACAACAACAAATATTCAGACTTTTCACTTCTTTCCTCTACAAGCAAACCACAGTCTCACCATGACACTCAGCAGTCTGTCTGTAGGACGCAGGGACATCGTAAACGTCCTCTTCTGCCTCTGCTGAGCGGTTCGCCTTACACAACCCTGAAGATGTGACACACATTAGAGCCCCCTCTTGGACATCTGCATGCTCTTATTGTGAAAGCTTAACTATTTCAAGAAAGTTTTTGGTCATACTGTTTCTAATAGGCAAAACATCATAGTGTCCTTCTTGTCCGGCTTCTGCACTGCTCATCTGGCTGGACCACTGGGGATCGCTGGGACAGTCATCTGAGAACAGCAGCATTTAGCACCAGAAATAACAATTCAAGCTGTGATGGTGCAGAGAGACAGTCATGATCATTTTTACCGTTGCGATTCTGGTAGGCTTTCCCTGTGTTCTGATAAATGTCTTCCTCGCTGTCCTGCTCTATGGGCTGCCAGGTGTTTTGGGGCTGAGAGGTCTCCTTGGGTTGCCAGGTGTCTTTGGGCTGCCAGGTGTCTTTGGGCTGCCAGGTGTCTTTGGGCTGCCAGGTGTCTTTGGGCTGCCAGGTGTCTTTGGGCTGCCAGGTGTCTTTGGGCTGCCAGGTGTCTTTGGGCTGCCAGGTGTCTTTGGTGCGGGGGCAGATTTTATGGGGTTGTGCGTAGATGTAGTCGGAGGGAGGGGGCGCAGAGAGGGGCCGAATTGGAAGCTCCTCCATGACACTTTCGCGGTGTGAGCAGATGGGTGCCATGCTATGTAGTCTTTCTCGCTGCTCACACACATCAAGTCTGAGGAGCAGAAAAAGTGAAAGGTCAAAAAAAACAAAAGAAAGAAAATTTGCCGGGATATGATTGTAAATTCAGATCTTACTGTGCGTCCTCAGAGACGGAGGTCGTGGAGGCAGAGAGATGCATGGCCTGCCAGAGGTATCCCACCCACTCCTTCCTGAGGTCCTCCGTCTCTGCTGCCTGCACCACACACACGTGTCCAGTGGTTGAAGAGGGAAAAGGATTAAACTTACAATTGACAACATGCATATCAAAATTAGAAATATGACATTTCTAAAACGCAGTAATGACTCACCAACACTTTTTTCTTCCCATTTGTCATGGTTATTTCAAAAATAAAGCGCTTCCTGTCAGCTTTCTGGACCTCTCGCACTGACTGCACCTGACCCAGAGGACAGATGACACATTTAGGTAATCCAAACTCACATACAGGCGCAACAGCTGCGGAAGTACCCCAGAAATCACAAACAGACTGGAAAATATGTGCTAGTGCATTTCAGAGAAGTGGTGCTCATTTAAAGAGAAAGGCTGCTCACAGCCTTAAATACAGCACTTTCCTTATTAAGAGAAGAGGTTAAAGCAGTCATGTGTGAGACTGGCTTATATAGTTGTAGAGTAAAATGAAAGAATACATTTTATTTCACATTATTGTGAGACAACTTGTGAGTGAAGCCATCAAATGAATGTAGTTCATCAGAGGCATCAATTAGTGAGGCACCACTGCTAGTGCTAACAAATAAAAAAAAAAAACACTCAATAAAAATGCTTACTGTGGTTAATTTGGGCACTTACTGCCACATGTGCAAAATCAGCTTCCTGTAATATTCAGGGATATGAAGGACTTACTGTGTATATGTAGTAAAATCCTCTCAAGCTCGACTGCAAAGAGAAAAACGTCCAGTGTGAACATACAAAGCAGTGAGATCTTTACAAGAGGCATTTTCTATTTCTACCTGTAATGAAACCATAATTAAATGGGAATTACTAATTAAATAAAACAAAAACACTTACAGCACTTCCATTCTTCTTAGTGTAGAAGAACAAGGTTGTGTTTTGAAGCCTGAACCAGTATGTGACCCATCTCATTTTCTACAACCACAGCAGAGAGTGCCCAAAGTCACTTTCTAACAACAACCGTAACGTTCACAGTAACTCAAGGGCAAAAGGAGCTTTATAACTTACCACCGTGTCTTTTCTTTTTTGTAGAAAGCTCTCAAAAAGCAGCTCGGTCCCATCCACAGACATGTTAACCTTCAGATTACAATTTCACACTGTGGCTGCCAGTTCTTGCTACCTGTGTGCGTGTGGTGAGACTTCCTCATCGCTCGAACTGAGAGCAGTATCGCTTGCAGCCACATCACCTTCTCACTTCTGCATTCTGCACAGAAGTCCTATCTGTTTGAGTTCACATCACAAAGCTAGTACAGCAATGACCATTTCTACTATGACTGCTGCTTCTATTCAGTGACACACACACAAACACGGTGACATAAGTGGGTGTAAAGGTCATTTATTACAGATATTTAAAACCATTTCATTTCTCCTTGTCCACCAGCATCTGTACGGCACAAGTCGTTATTAAAAATGCCGAAGATGAAGAATGACAAGACTCAAAGTGGGGAAAAGGGCGAACAGCTGTTAATATAATGATGCCTGGTTTAAACGGTGCGTCTAACTTCATAAAAATATAAGGAGGAAAAAAGCTTTATTCAAAAGGCAGAAAAACAAAAATAAAAACAGAAAGCAGGTAGTCGTTCACCATGAAAATGGCTTCGATAATACTAAATACAAAAACACATGAAAAAGAAAAAAATCCCAGAGTTTCATGCGGTGCACTCGGAAAACAGACGAGAGAGAGAAACAGGTTAATAAATTAAACACACAAAATAAACAAGTGCACGGCATCCGTGACCTTTTTAGTGTTAGATGCAGCGCTCTTTGTCCCATCGCCTCCTGTTCTGGCTTTAGCTTTGATCCTAAAATGTTTTTTTAAAGGAATACATACATAATACCTGCATATGCACATCTATAAACAGATTCAAGTCCCTTTGTGGTGGATCTGTGGATGTCTGCCTCTCTCTGGTGTCCAAATATCTAATTATACTGACCTGAGGAGGTGGGGGAATTAAAAAGAGGACTGGACCAGCTGACTACTCATGTCTAATCTCACCTAGACTAAACCAACAGACCAAACGACGCCAGCATTTACAAACCGAGGTGATGTTTCAAACGTAACCTGCCCCCCTCTTCAAAACATAAGGAGAAAAACACCACACTCCCTTATATAAAAGGTACCTATAAGTCTGCACGTTTGTTCATGGTGACCAAGAAATGAGGCCTGGCTGGTGGGTCAGGCCGTCTTTGTGAGTCTTTTCTTTCCCCAGGTATGAGTGGTGGGAGGAGAAGGGGCAGAGTCAACAGAAGGACCAGAGAGGGGAAGTCTGGTTCTGTCTGATCACCGCTGTTTGAGAAGCGCTCTGTACATGGCGAAGCCCAGCACGGCAAACACTGTGGCGCCGACGCTCGCCCTCAGCCAAAAGGTGGAGTTCTTCAGGTCTGCCTGAGCCATGTGTCTGAGAGAAGAAGCAGGAAACACACAGAGAGCAGGTGAGAGGCTGGGAAAATACATGAATAGCAGAAAAGGGGAGCAGCTTAAAACACAATGACGAATCTAGTGCCACATTTTCCATCTGCTCGTAAAACCACAACGAGAGAAATTGCCAAATGACACAACAAAGTCATGTGTTTCCCCCTCTGGGTGAAAACTTCCCAAAGCCTGACCACATATGACGAATCCAAGGATCCTCTCATGGCAGCATGAAAGGGAAACACATGCCTTCTCTTGTCATTGTTTGTTTCAGTTTGGGATACGTAAAAAAGGGAAAGAGCAGAGTCTTAAAGAAGCACCTGCTATGTACCTTAAAGGATTGTTAAAATTATATGGAGCCCAGGTGGTGTCTAAACTAAATAAATTTGGTATTTCTAGTGCTGCTGATTGGATCATTTCTCTATAATTTGGCTTCATCTCCTCTCACAAAGGGCAGAGAACAGTTTTGATACAGAGCGCTTTAATTTAAATGAGGCGTAGAGTGAAATAAATCTCACACCTAAATATACCTGTGGCAACAATGAGGTAGGCAACGCATTATTTTAAGATTAAGCGCATGTGTGTACATGACACCACCTGAGCTTCATAGAACTGCGTTAACACTTCTAAAACAACAGACTGAGCTGGAAGGAAAAACAAGGTGAACTATGCAGCCTGCAATGACAGGTAAAAGCAACGGAGGAGGAGGGAGGAGAAAGGGAGTAACCCAAGTGCCCCGTATACATAATATACTGATTGTACAGCTTCATCAGAAATTTGAGAAGCTGATCTGGGGACAGACACGTCACCACTCAACCCTTCAAATGTCCTGTTACTCCCGTAGGATCCAAAGAAAAGCCAGACTCATGCTCCATCTACTGAAAAAAAGAGGAAAACGCCTCTGGCAGTAGATATCGACATGACTCTTATAGGTCAAAACCTGATAAACCTGCTGCCATTATGAGATACAGTCACATGCATGGAGTGTTCGCCCATCCTTCCACGGGTATAAAAATCAAACATCCCCTCTCTCTATGATTTCTGTTGTTACCTTTGTGGAGGAATTACTGGTTCAGCGGAGGCCTCCATAAAAGATGGACCCCACCTCCACGATGGAGATGGCTGAAACCTGCTGCTTCAGGCTGAAATCGTCCTCTGACAGCAGGCAGCTTGCCTCACCACCACCCCCACCCCACAAACTCCACCCAACCAGGCAGCCTCTCACACAGTCACAAAAGGAGTCAAATGCAGCAGGTGAAGCAGGGAGATACTTTGAATTTGTTAAACAATCAACACATTTATCACAGCCAGAACCGCTCAGTTAGTGATTAAAGCATGAAACCCGGTTCAAGCATCCTCCACAATGCAGCGGAAGTTTTCAGGGGCGGCAGTGGTTTCTACGAGAAACATTTTCCCTAACAACCAGCTAACACTTTCTTTCTAGGGATTTTTTTTTTAAAGAAGGCGCAGTTTACTGAACATCAAAACTTTCTGTAAACATGTTTTAAACACAAATTGGTGTTGGCATAGTAAACGATGTTTGCTTGGTTGCTAGGCAGATAATTCATACTCCATCATACAATATATGCCAACATCTATTTTTAAACACGTGTTTATACTTTAGTCATTGTTCATTCATTTAGTGAAATCACTTACACAGGTTCTCATAATTGCAATTAACATGCAGCACGTCATGACACGCACAGTTACCTGTTAACTGAGTTGCCATAGCTACGGGATATGCAAATAAGTATTGCACAGCAGGAAACCTGCACGTGGCCCTCAAGCTGTCATCTTATCAGAAGAATCTCTTCTTCAAGGAAGCGAGGTGAAAGTAATGACAGCATGTTGTCACGTGAGGAATCTGGACGGATGTTTTCATAAGACCGTTAAGAATCTTACTCTTCTTCCTGTTAAAAGCTAGTTTTTCCTTCCCGTTGTTGCCAAAGCGCTTGCTCATAAGGTGTCATATGATTGTTGGGGTCTTCTAGTTTTTTTATTGTATTATTGTAGGGTTTACCTTAGAATATAAAGCACCGTGAGGCAACTGTAGTTGTGATTTCACAACAACAGTTGTTGCTGTAGAAATAAAATGTAGACTCTGTCCCTAAGAGTTTATCCTTTGTTTCTGGCGTCGAATAAAGGAAGGATGCACGTCCTTTACAGACTACAGTTTACACGGGGTCTGCATCTGCACTGCTGTCGTTTGCTTTTACCAAACTTCCATCAAAACTCCGTTTCTGTGTGGACTCTACACCGTGCCTGTGGTCCGGTCACACGATGCTGGTCTGTGCAGGCATTTACTTAAAAAAATTTTCAACTGTGGTTTTGTAGTCTGAATCAGTAGGAAATGGTGATGGCTATCTTTATAGGTTATCTGACCATCAACTCATTGACATAAATAGGCCTGCAAACACAGTCTATGGGCGGCTACTGGTAGAAAATCTATTTCCAGCCATCCTAATATCCTGTTTGCTCAGAAAAACATTCGCGTTTTGGTCTTTTTTTGTTTGCTTTTTAAACACTTGTTTGAGCTAAAAAGAATATAGTCAGGTTTGGTCTGACCCAACAGCACTTAAAAATATAGTCTTTAATCACAGGAGACAAAAAAAAAAAAAAAAAAAAAACCCGGAAATATTCACGAGGGAGACTGAAGCCGAAAAATACTATGTGTGTGGGAACTGTTTTTACATAGAATGAGGAAATGGCCACATATATGTGGTGCATACTGTATATACTTGGTTCTATATTACATTATATCCTCTTTAACAGTAAAAACTATTTAATACACTTTTTCAGCAAAATATATTTTCCCTTTTAGTTGATGTGAAGTAGTTATTTTGGTTATTTCTTCTTCTTTTTTTAAAAAAAAAAAAAAAGGAAAAAAGTTTTTATTTATAACAATGACAAAAATACAATAAAATGCACCAATAAGATAAACAAAATACTAAAAAGTCATCTGTATCGAGTCCGAAAAGTAGGCCAAACACCACCTCTGAAACAAAAGCTTGACCACAATCACGATACCTGACCCACTTTCATTTCATATCTCAAACAAAAGCACACAAACACACCATAAACAAGCTGTATAGTTTGTTACCAAATAAAATAATAGTTTGTGTTCTTGGCGTGTTAGATTCTTTAACAACAGAGTATAAAGGATGGTCTGTACTTGTTACTCAGTTAATTTCTAATCTTAATGAGCACTTTGGCTCAATGCACCTTAATCTCGATGCTTGTAATCAATCAGGGCTGAAATGTTCCTTTAATGTTAGATTTTAGGTTGTCAGGCCCTCACTCTGCCTGATTAAGGTCACTGATAACAACTCCCAGAGACGATGTCGACACAAGGGTTAGTTGTTGGGTGCAACACTTCATCTAGCCCTGCCTGAGTGACTAACAATAATTTACAAAAATTAGAAACGTACGCACTCAAAACACATTTAAACACATTCACACCCGCAGTGTAGCTCAGCAAACCTGCACCATTAAATTCAAACACCAAGCTCACTACACTGTACAGACAGATGCAGAACCTTCCCCAGCTGCCAGCAGATGGCAGTATTTCACAGAGGACTGAGGCATGCCCTTTAAGTACAGAGGCTGAAGTGAACAGGTGAGCCATGCAGATTAGCAGAGAGTGAACACATGCAAGAGGAAGAGGATGAGGGGCAGCCACAAACGTGTGCGTGAACACCTACAGAGTGGAAGGAAGAACACAAAGACAAGAAATAGAAGACAGGAGGGGAAAACAGGATGAAATGACCGAGTAATTGGAGAAGAACAAAAACAATCAAATTCAATCATTTAAACACATT